AATTAATATCTGATCAGACCCTGACACCATGAGTACCCAATATTTTACTTTTTCACAACATTCTAACCTCTCTGTTTTGCTCATTGGACTTGAGGCTGTTTTTTTTTTTTCACTAATGTTCTCTCATAAACCTCTGAGTTCCTTGACAACGCTGCTGTATTTGCACTGATATTACCTTACATGCACGTGGACTCCATTGGAGAAAATGTGGAAAAGTTCAAGGAGTTTGAAATACATTTACTTGGCACTATTCATGTGTTCAGTGACTGTTAAAATGTATTTCATAACCATTTTAGAGGAGAGTGAATACAGACAAGCAGACTGAGATGCAGCAAGAGGATGAAACTCACTTTTCGTCTTGTCTTTTGAACATTTTTCTTTGAAATCTCATGTCATTGTTAATGTCACTGCCCATCCAGTCATAGCCTCGCTGGTCTTGTACGTTTTTCTGTTGTGCTTAATGAAGAGACGGCTGACTGGTCTCGCTGTTACAAACTCTGCTGCCTGCCATTTTGTTGCATGCCCGCTTTCCTGAGTGAGTGCGAATAAAAAAAAGCGAGCATAATCATACCAAGTCGCACTGCCTCTTAAAATTTTGCTTAATTTATTGAACAATGAATTAAGCTAAAATATACGGCCATTTCCCACTGCAAAAGACAAGCGGTTCCTTTATGAAGACCTTTTTTTGCGACGCTTTTATGAATCTCTGCTTTCACTAAATTGAAGGCATCAAATGGGTGTTTGCATCACCAGTAGAGGTGTCTGCTATTAATGATAAGCAGCTTTACCACCTGCTGTTCTAATGTCACTGGAATCTAGAGAGGTGAGCGCCGAGGAGCGTTGTGAATATTTAATGATGGAATGAAATGCTTTATTGTTGAGTATCGGGGGAGCAATAAAGTGATATTGGAAAAAAAAAAGAAGTTTTTTTTCAGGGTGCTTTTAGTTCTGTTATTCTAATTTACAGATGTGCAAGTGGTTTAGTTTTTAGGAGCTTGTCAATATGGTTTGAGTTTAGCTATTCATGAGCCTCCATTTGTGGAAGCAGGGTATGTTGACTGAGACAAATAGATAAATCTTGACGTCCGTAACAGTCCCTAGTTTGTTTTCTTTACACTCATTATCCAGAATAGCATGCACGTTTGAGAGTTGGAGTTTCGACGACCAGCTATATTTCACAGCATGGTCCCTCTGCCTCATACGATTATTCAGCATCGCGCTTGGCCGCAGCACAAACGCATACTTAGAGCCGTAATGCCGTTTCCATTTTTATCAGCACTCCTTGTGAAATATCACGAAGACAAACATGGAAAGAGTCGAGCCTGGCTCTCACTGCGTTCAGATGAGTAATGACTGCATGATATGATTCCCCCAAAACTGCTTGTGTCTGACCTGCCTCAGGGGTCGCCGTGATCGCAGTGAGCCTCTGCGTTGGTGTGAGCGTTTTGCTGCAGGTTACAGGTGGAGGATCAAACCCAAACCAGAGGCTTTCCTGAAATATGAAGATGCAGGGATGGTACGAAAGTAGTCATCCAGTCAATTTAGCTTGCCTCGTAAAATATTGAAATATAATATTTGAGTCAAATTCAAATTATCTCTTTTTTGTTGTTGTTGTTGTTTTGGACAGGGGCAGTGGATGAAAACCTAACTTACTAAACAGCCATGCATTAATGCAAAAGACCTCTCTGTTTCTAATGTCATTATGCTTTTTTTAATTATTATTATTATTATTATTATTATCTTGCTGCCATCCTCTGAAATTGAATGAGGAGAGGAGGTTATTATTGTTTTTGCAGCACTGCAGTTTCAGTTCTAAAAGGACCTAAAGGCCCTTCACTCTTTCAATTAGTCTATCTTCAGCCTCACCTGGCCACCCAAGTGAGGAAATCAATAAAAGTGAAAGCTGCCCCTATTACACTGACTGCAGGTATTGCTGTGATTTGAAAAAGCGGGGCTTCAGTCAAAAATGAAGAAAAACTTTACCTCAGAGCTCTGCAGCGGGTGTTCAATTTCTCAGATGAAACCTTATTTGTTCTTTTTTGGCTATATTAAGCTCTGCTCTCCAATGACTTTCCAGGATTTTGGTCAAATCATTTTTCCTGGAAAATATTGTTTTTTCACTCAACAAGTTCAGCATCAATAGATGAATTCCTTGAGAAATCTTGGTTATATTATATGTAAATGTGATGTGTGATTTCTTATGCTCTTTAAACATGTCTGGTACTTTACAACTCAAATATTTGTAAAGCATTTAATCTTGTAGTTTGAAGAGACTAAGCCAGCTTTGCTCTGAACGCACTGGAAAGTTGTCATGATCCGTGTTTCTGTGTGTTTAGTTTTGAGTTTTTCTGTGTGATTCTGTTTCCCTGTGAGTCTCTGTCCTGTCCTCCACGTTGTCTCCCATGTGTATTTAGTCTCACTTGTTGTCTGTGTTCTTCGTCGGCTCCTTGTCTATTGCTGTGTTACGCAAGTCGTCACTATCTGTACTCTCCAGTAGAACTGCCAAGTCCTGGTTTGTGTTTGCTCCCGTTTAGTCCTTATTAACAGTTGCTACCGGCATTTAGCTGTGTGCTTGTTTCCTGCCATGCTGCCTGTCCTGGACTGTCTTCTGAGCATATTATGATTAAATTCTTCATTTTCACCATCTTACCTGGGTCTCGGCCTCCTCTTCTCACCACCACAACCACCCATTACGACAAAAGTGAAAAAAGAAAATGCATTAGTTATCCTCATAACATATCTAAGTGATTAATTTTCCTATAAAAGTATGCGACTAACATCTTAACTTAGCACTTGCTTGGTTTTATACAAACGAATGTGTCATTTTAGGGTGATTGATATATTTTATAAGTCAGTTCAATGGATGCAATGATAGTTGTAGATGTATTGTGCTGTTATAAAGTCAAGAAACGCACTGGCTGTTTTTTTTTGTTTTTTTTTCCTAATTTGGAAGGAATTGACAAATAATTTTCAATAAAAATTGACAAAATTTTCACTGCATATTTGCAAGGCATATAATACTGTTTGCAAATGTGCTCTCATCCATTTCAATGCAGAGTTGTGAAGTGGAAAAATAAAAATTTGCCTATCAAAATCGTTGGCAAACGGAAGATTGTCAAAGATTTTATGGCACCATAAAACATAATCTTGCTCAGTCAAAATATGATCTTTATTAAATATTTATTTTTATGGAGCTTAAACTGTATTATTTAAAGTTGTGCCACAGTTTTTAAGCCCCGGCTGGTTGAAATGTGTTTCTCTGACGCAGACAGGAGTGGTTGTTATATGACTGACTACTTCGGTGCAGTGTGTTTGCACAGTATGTCAGTGTCCGTTAGACATGGCAGCTGGGGGCTGGGTTTACCACCCTGTCTCGCAGCACTTCCATCCCACATCTGCTCTCCAGTTTATTGCCCTGGTGAGTTGATTTATGACTTGTGTGCAGAGTGCAGGTAGCGTCATTCACTAGTTGCAGAGACATCGTGGAACAGCCTCGGATGGCCTTTTCCGTACGATTCTTATCAGCACTAGTAATTTGTCACATCTCGCGGCTTTCTGTGGACGTCATGTTCCTGTTAGTTGCATCGTGCTGCAGCCATTAATGTTTCATAGGCTCACACTTTTGACGGGCTCCTCTGAAAGCTTCTCTAACATCTGTAATTTATGATCCGCACGAAGTGCTGCTTGAGTGAATCTATTCTGAGGGGAAGTTCTCAGTCGTGTACATTGTGGGGAAGACGAGAAGCATTAAGTGGCTAACACCGAGTGTGTTGCTCCTAAGTGGAGGATTTTGTATTTGAAGATGTTCTTGTCTTAGAGGGTGTTCGCAGCAGTTCGGGGAGTGAAACTTACCTGAAAGTGGAGCTTTCTGTGAACACCATTGCTGAGAGAGATGTGTAGGCAAAGTGGAGGTGGATCTTGTTAAGATGGGATTTGCTGTCTTTCTGAACAGTTCTTCATATCACAGTAATCTGACATATATTAAATGATCAGAAGCTCCATTTCATCATCTTTTCTGGCCCCAGAAGGTCTAACCTGAACATTTTTTTTCTCCTAACAAATTCAGCATTATTACTAAAGCAATCAAGCTGAGCTAAACCCCCAAAGTCCTCACCGTGCTGTGATCACCACATTCCTTTCTGGATCACTAAATATTCATGAAGCCTCTAAGCACATTTTGGGTTGTTTTTAGCAACAACAACAAGGAGCTTGTCTTGTGAGATTTCTTTCAGACTCCACTTACAGTCTCGCTCACAGCTCAAATTCTTCCATGAATATGTATGTCATTTCCCACCTTTGGGTCTCTCGAAGAAGTCTGGGCTCCACACGTCAACAAAGACTATCCAGGTCTGAGCTTCATCAGCAGTAAATACCTTTAGTCTCTCTTCAGGTATTAGGGAATTAGGAGGTCACTGCCAGAAACACTTAGGAATATTCTATCGGAAGTAGGATGATTGTAGTGGAAAACGTCTCAGTTCTTCCTCAGTACCAAGTAATATGATTGGTGTTAGAAGAATAATTGACATCTGATTCTTTGAAAAATATAAGTATGTAGAATATAAAGTCCATACATAACCCTGATGACAGTTTCATGCACTACTTTGTCTTTTTTTTTTTTTTTTTTTTTTTTTTTAAATTCTGACAAAATACACTGGCAGAGGTAGTTGTTGCAAAGTGAAACAGCTGAAGTGGTTTGCATACTTTTGCAAGTCACTGAGATTCCAGTAACCTTCAGAGGTTAGTAAGAGATTGGTGAGGAGAGCAGAGAGACTTAATCCACCAGCAGAATTATAATAGGGCAGACGTCTTCTGAAGGAGTCCAAGTGAGGTGGAGAAATGCAGAATTGATGGAAATTTCCAGGCACTATATGTAGGTGCATGAGAGCATGACAGGACAAAACTTTTAGCCACAAACAAAAATAAACATTGACATCTTGCGTGTTCTGAAACATTTAAATTACCTTTTTTTTCTTTTTCTTTTTTTTTGCTTTCATTCTCAGAACAAAGTGCTGACCATTGATGGAGTCAAGGTGAAGCTGCAGGTAAGTGATTCACCATCAAAATGTAAGTTTAGAGAAAATGAAAAGGTATGTAGATAAAAGCATTCAAAGATCAAAACAGCATTGCTCTTGCAATAGAAAAATAGGTTAAAACATAATTGGACCCAAATTGTGAGCAGAGTCTGTCTTGCCTGGTTTGCATCAAACAGATGTGTAGCTTTTTAATGTTATGGTCGATACTGGTGTACAACACAGCCAGTTAAAAATGTCTGTGAGATAACAGACTTTACTAGGTTCTGTGTGGCCAGCTACATTTATAATTGTTTATTTTATCGATTTAATATAAAAGAGGTAAACTATAGAGTGAAATAAAAAGATATAACAGTGCTCTTCAATTGTGCAGAAATCTTTAGTGGCTTGAACTGTTTTGGAAGCATAGTTAACTCGGTTATTTTATTTTTGTGGTTTGGACTCAAACTAGAGAGATGGCCTTGCTACAACTCAGAAAATTATCAAACAGTTGCCTTTTAATAAAAAATAAAATAATAAATACTTGGAAATAACAAGTCAAATAAAAATGTGAGTTTCTGTGATTTTTTTGATTTTTTTTTAACCTGGTTTGATTTAAAGTTATGCATACACATCTACTTCAGATGGCAGACCTTGTCTGTTTTTGTTAGATTCACAACTCAAAGCTGGTTTCAGAAAACTGGCTCCAAAACAAAATGGATGTAGGAGATGAATCAAATAAGCAATTACTGCGACTGGTATTTTTATCAGGAGGCACAGATCAAAACAAAGCTTTGAAGAGACCGAACATAATTTTAGTGTGAACAAAACTGTGACTAGAACACGAATTTAAAGTAGCTTTACTGTTGACACTCTGATCATAATTTATTAGGGATGTCCAATTATTTTTGCACTTTTTGTCCCATGTATATCAATATTTGCAAATATCAAGCCAATCATCCCTATCCATTTTGCTTTGTAGCAAAATGGTTTTGGACTAGTTTATTCAGCTTGAGTGAACTCAGAAAAACATCTAAAATGTCACAACTTATTATCTACAGCATAGATCGCTTTTTAATTTGATTTTATCATCTGGATACATACATATATCTACAGTCTTAATAAAATAAAGTGATTAATCCAACTGATTTTAGAACGAGCTATTACTGAAGTTGCAGGGTGACTCTAGCACTTTCTGTTTTGATATGACTTGTTGATAATTTGGCTCAAACCTTTATATTTTTTTTGAATTACAGATAAAACTTTGAAGATTTTTTTTTCTAGCCTACTTCAAAATGTAAAACTTTGTTTTGAATGTTTCTCTCTTATACATGCAGTTATCTATAGATATCTGAGACAAACATAAAGAGCAGGTGCCATTCGGTCTATCTTTAACTGAAAACACTGAAAAACACAGGCTGGAAGGGGAAACCTAGATGAATTAAATAAAATTACTCACAGCACATTGGCAGCTTTTGGGAGGAGAGTTTAGCCAGGGACTCTGATACCATTCACTTAAAAATGCTTTGATCAAGAATCACATCCACAACTCTTAGTATTTCACCACAGATGAAAGCAAATCATGTAAATTTTTTAGTAAAAACAGTAAAGTAGGAATTTCATGCTCACACTGGATCATCAAAGTAAATCATGTCATTGTTTTAACATCAACTCATAGCAAAAAAATATGAGTTTCTTTTTGTTTTTTACTTTAATTTCTATTTCTTATCTTGTCTCCAGATCTGGGACACAGCTGGACAGGAGCGCTTCCGCAGTGTCACCCATGCCTACTATCGGGATGCTCATGGTGAGAAACTCATACCTCCTTTGCTGATTTACAGTTTCTAGGGACAAAAAATACATCTTGTGATTATTAATAGTGTGTGAAACCATGGTTAACTCTTATGTTGCAGTAAGGTTTTTTGTTTATTAACCATTTAATAAATATCTCTCAAATTGTGGTATATTGATTCTGATACAAAAGTACAATAATTTGAGTTTCACAAGTTTGAGCTGACTTTCGGGTGTTTGGTTCTTCCTGATTTTTATTTATTTTTTAATACAAAACACAAAGACGACTTTCTTCCTTGTCAATTAACATGTGCTCAGATTGAAAACTAATATCTGAGGCAGCTGGTTTTCAAAGTACTAATTCATATATTCTAACTTAATTTATTTACCTTCAAATCAAGGCCATATATAATTGGTATGCATTGAACTAGATTTAAATTGGACTTCTGTCTCATTGCTAAAGTTAAGATTTGTGTCGTGTCGACACTCTAAGCAAACACCATTAAATTATTGCACATTTATAGAGGTTTTATGGGCCTGAACGTAGTTAAGTGTTGTTTTGATTGAACTTTCAAAGGTTGTTCCCTTGCCATCAAAACAAGAATTTATGCCAGTTATTTTTCTAAGACATGTTGGTTTAGAGGTGAGTATTTACTTCCACTCTGCAGTGTTTGTCAAGTACTGAGGTTTTATAACTCTGTTCAAAAAGGGAAAGACGGCACATTCAGGATTCAGGGACTCTTTGATGTTCTGTAATCAGTCATCACGTGTTGCTCAGTGTTTGTTTGTGAGACTAGAAGTTTGGACACATCTTACAGGTTTTATCTTTATAGTTTAGCAAATTCTTAGTGGTGGTTCTCACTTGTCTGTAAGCCTGTAAGAAGTCATTTTCAAGTTATTACTAAACTCCAGCATGTTGTGCAAATGATAAACCACAGCAGCTGAATGACTTTTTATCATGGTTGAACTTTATTGTTGAAGTTAATTTTCTCTTCCGCCAACAGTCTGGCTTAAAATGACTTAACTTGTCATAAATATTCAAATATTATTTTTGCTGCAAACAGGAAACAACAGACATAAAGTTTGTTCTCAGCGTTTTGTACATTATATTATCTTTGTTGTTTTAAACTAATGCAGCCTCTCTCCTCAAATTGCAAAACAAATGCCAAAAGAAAATGTTTTATTTCCTCTCAAATAGAAGCTGATGTCAGCCATTAAATGATCTATTATTTACACATTCTAGTGTGGCAAGATTTTAAGACAGCAGAGATGCACAGGACTTAACACAGTCATGCAACAAACAACCTTTTATTTTCCCTGATCCGGTTCCGAACCATTGAATGACAACAAACAGCAGCTCTCCCAAATGAGTATTATTATATGGTTTATGATCCATTTCATTTTCCTGTTCCATGAGCTGCTAAAGAATAATGTGAGCTTAACCAGATTTTTTTAGTAACACACACAAAAAAAAAAATTTGGTGAGAAGCTTATCAAAGTGTTTTCAACTTAATCCATTTTTGTGTCTTCCAGCTCTGCTCTTGCTGTATGACGTCACCAACAGATCGTCTTTTGACAATATACGGGTTTGTAATTTGTTTTTCTTTTTAAACGCTCTTATTTGACTGAATAATTGTTGGTTGACTCGAACCCTTTTCTCTTATTTCTTACTGGAACACTTGCTGTTGCGCTTTCAATCAAATTGCCCTCCAGATATCACCACTAATACTGTAAGCAGAATTCTGGTTGTGTTTTCTGGGCATAGAAAGATAAGATAGAAAGATTTAGAGTATGGGGACTGAATGTGACCCGGCAAGATTTCAGATTTTGGTCTCTCCGTGCATTTGAAGAGTCTCTGACTGGACTGTATTGCCTGCTGAAGGAGAAATATAACTTGTAAGCTGAATGTGAACATTCAGCAGTCCCAGGCAGCTACATGTATCACTCTTCGGGCAAGAAGAATCTGTAGAAAGCTAATGCTTTTAACCTGACCTCTCTTTCCTCCAGACTTTACATTATGCTGTACCTCTTAATCTATTTCCTGCAGTTGTGTGCCTTTCAAGCAATTTGGTTAACCTCTCCTCTGCAGGGAGATTTATCTCCTGAATTTGATTAAACTTAAGAATTATTGTTCAGTGAGCTGGCCCACTTCCAAGGCAATATTAAATTCTCACTTATATATTAAATATGACTATTCCTGAAATGCTCCACCTTTCCAAATACTGAGTTTTAGTGTTGCAGGAGCAAGCATGACAACTCTACACAGAAAGCTGCCAGCTGAGTCCAGGTGGGACTGAAACACAATGATAGTTTCCAACATAGAATTATTATATCATATCATTCATATAATAAGTGGATTGACAGCAGTTCTAACCCAGAGCATACACCTTTCTGATTGGAGGTAACTGAAAAGTACGTGAATCCATAAAATGCAGCTTTGCTCTTGCCCTGACCACAAAAGCTCTGAACGAGGTTGCGCAATAATATTTGGAAAGACTAACATCCCACAGGAAAACTGTAACACAGCTGGTTGATCATTTGTGTCCACACGGTCTAAGCTTTGGATTTTTCTGTTTGTATTGACAAAGTGATTGGACTAGGCAGGAAACAAGAAATGTCAGCTTCACACTGGGGGGATTTAAGGAGATGCATGTGCAGTCAAACTGAATGCCCTCTGAAGGTTTAAAGCGAAAAATACCAATTGTAATCAATAAAAGTAGTAATTGCAACCTCCCTACAGCAAAATAATGGCAAAAAAATAAAAACAGTTTTTTTTCTATTTCAGATGAATAAAAACAGCTTTTACATTGGAACACAAGCTGAACAGAAACTCTTCATCTTTTGAAAATAAAGCATGTCGCAGTTCAACACTGGAGCTTTTAAAATTGCTGCCTTTCTAAGCCACCATTTCCCATGTTATGTTCGTTTCGTGCACCGTCTGCTGTCGAAAAGGTTCAAGTTGTTTCAGCCGATGTATCTGTGGTTTCTGTTTGCGAAGTAAGTGTATCTTACAGCTTGAAGAGAGGCAATTTTCAGCTGCTGTATTTGACATTGTACACAAAAATTGCTCTTTCAGGGGGACCGACGGGCTCTAATGGAAGAAGAGGCAGTTTGATCCTAGACTGTAGAGAAATGTGATGTTCCTTTATGCTTTGAGTGATCCCTGAAGCAGGCAAGATGCTTTTCAAGTTCAGATGCGAGCAAAGAGCAAAACAAAAGTCTGAGCACAGACTGCCGGGAAGAAGAATTTGTTTGGCAGCTACACAGGGGAGGATGAGTAACTGTCAGCAATCTGACACACTGTCTCCTACCCTTTTTTGGTGAGGCAGTGGAGCTACAGAAAGTCTTGTGCATTTTTTTTATGGAACAGCACACGGGACTCCAGGCTTTGTTTTCCACCAGGATCCCATCTATCCCGAAAAAAAACCGTCAGGTTTTCTACTGTAGGCCAACTTTGAATGTGTACTCAGACATGAGAGTATCGTGACAGCAAACTGTCTATCTTAGCTCATCTCCTTTAACCCAAGTTAATTAGTGTTGCTCATTTAAACCATCAGAACTATGTTGTTCATCTGAGGTACAGCACATTATTTCAATTCATCCTTTTGGGGGAGGAGACATAGAGATATTCACAACACAGCTATGAAACATGAAATTTATTATGTTTCCTTCAAGCCTCCCTCTGAATGGGACACCTCTACTGACTGTGCTGATATACAAATGTGATATAAGTATCAGTTACAGCAGCTCCAGGTAAATCTGTCTTTTTTTTTTACCTCATTGTAGAGAAAAACTCAGTTTTTCTCCAACCTTTTTTTTTTTTTGTTGAGTCCATTAGTAAAATCATCTGTACTAAAAGTTTTCTAAATTGTAAGCATTAACCCTACTTTTCTGTAAAACATATCTAAAATCTCCCTAGACATTACGCAGCGACAGGCCACAATTATTTATTCTATTAATTTAACACTTAATACATAAAATAGGACAGATTTTATTTGGTCAGAGTTATGCTTATTATGTCCATTCTATGTTCTGGAAAGAAACATCCAATTTAACTGAAAGCAACCTGCAACAGCTCTGTTATATAGTTTTGTTTTGTTTTGTTTTTTTCCAGTGCATTTAAATAAGAAGCTGGAACTGAAAATTATGTTCCAACGATGCATCCTGGCAGGACTGATGGCGAATTACTGATGAGGCCAGTCCTATAACTTAGCCCCCACTTAAGACAGAATAGAAATTAATCAAGTGGAAACATTCAGTCTGTAGTAATTATAATTTTAGATTCAACCATTGTCCTCGTCACCATATGCAGTATTCGTCACGGGTTGGAAATTGTCAAACTCTACCCCAAAGAAGTTAGGTTGAAGTCCTTGCTCAGCTTTGTCTGATTTTCATTATTTTCTTCTAAAAACTGAGCAGTACTCCCCAAAAGAAAAGTCTGGCGCAAGAGATGAAATTGCTTTAAAAAATCTGACACTAATGCCAACTATCTCCTCAAATGTTGGAAATAGCCAGAATCACAAATCTTGTGTTGATTGTTGCTGCCTTGATTGGCAATATTGACCCAAATACATAAAAAGAAAGCCTTCCAAGATTTTATTATTATTATTTATTTGTTTGTTTATTTATTTTATTGTTTTAAGAGTTTATGTATTTGAAAATCCTGCAGTGGTATTTTGCAGAATTGTTAGTGAAAAAGAAAATGCCACAAGTTCACAACTTTAAGAATGCCTCCGAAGTGTTCGCACGTATAGTTTAAAAGCCCAAACTTCAAAACCTGAAACTTGAGGTTGTTGCGCATCATTATTTTAAAAAGCACTTTTCTAGTCTCCCATTGAATCTGCGTATTCTTAGGAAGCACAGAATGACATCGTTCCTCCCCTCCTCTACATTCATCTACTGCACATGTATTCAGCGTCTGTTAGTGAAATAAGAAATCCTGGCTACAAGCCCCAGATGCCTGCTGGCATGCCGCTGTCTAACGAGCATTAACTCAGGTTATTGAACACTAATGGTGATAAATGTCGCTCTGAGGGAAAGATATAAATTAGATGGAAATAAAAAAATATATATTTTCTACCCTCGGATCTGTTCGTTTTTGTATTCTGTCACTGTCTCCTTAGTGAGGCAGTTGGAAAACCATGGCGTTACCATTATTGAAGCTGTTCATCATTTTTAGAGAGAGAGGCTTAAAATATAAGGCATGAAAGGCTCAGTCAAAACAATTTAACTATACATTCAGTCACTTTCCTGAAATATCATTGCTCTGTTTTAGGAAGTTTGAAAATAAAATTTGCAAATTGTTTTATTTTAGCTCTAGATTGCAACTCAGTCCTTTAAACAAAACATAGGGGCAATTTTATTTTACTTCATTAAAGCCTATGCGGGCTGCCATTGCTAGTAATCTGTCTCTTAGTCTTCTAAAAATCAGCCTGGCTCTTGTGGTGTGATTTAGACGTTTGGTGATTTTATTGTCATTAACATGTTAATAGGGGGCCTGTAGCTTCTTCTGCTGCTGCTATTTTGGTTGCCAAAAGATACACACACTTAACTGAAACTTTTAAACCTCATGAAAAAACATAAAAGACAAAATATTTGTTGAAGATTAGTTTTTAACCATTAGTTTTAGCACCTCGGCGCAGCTTGCAGGCACAGGAAGTTAGAAAATAAGCCATTGAAAGCTTCTGTGAGATATTGCCCCTGGAAAAAGGCAAAACAAATAATAATAATAATTAATGATTTAATGATTTTTGCACTATGGCATTAGTTGAGTGATTTTAATGAAATGCAAGACACAACTTTTTTATAATCCCTTATGTAGCTCCAGGAACTTTATTTGTTAGCATAATGAACAATTTCATTATTGTTCTGAAGTTTGGATTGGATGTCTTAAGTCATACAGCAACTTGATGCTTTTCATTAGATACATGATTATTTCCCTCTGGGGTAAAAAAAATAAAGTATTAATCAGTTGTAGTCCTTTTTCTTTTTAGGATAAAAGAGCATTAAACACTCTAAGTGAATGTGGCTTTGTGAATATAAACCTTTTCCATTCTGTAAATGTGCAACCAAATGCACTAATCAAATGAAGTGGCACGTTCAATGGGTTCAACACATGATTTCTTCATAGGCTTCAACAACGACTTGATTTCCCCAATCACTCCGGGGACTCTCTGGCATTTTTTTTTTCTTTCCTGACTGAAAACCCAACTGTTCATACAAGCATTTTCACTTTGATTGATTAACACGTCCCATCATTTTACTCTCTAAATTTTCTTTAATGTTTTATCTTTTTAAATATGTTTCTTTTATTTTATTTAGGTGACCTTGTGTGTCCCGAAAGGAGTGTTTTAAATGAAATGTGTTGTTAGTATCAGTAATAGTGTTGGAAAGCAGAGGTCTCCTCGCCATGGTCATATTGAAATGTTGTGGGAGCCTTCCACATATTTTATACCACTTTACATATGTATTCATATATGCACCTGCAGCTGTGCTGTACTTCATGTAGATGGGAAAGGTGCTCAGTGACATGCATGCCTATGTTGTTTTTGGATGGGGTTGACATTTGAAAAGAAAAACCTGTTAC